TTACTTGGCAGAACAACAAAAGAATGGGATAGAGTGAAGACCTCTCTTTTTATCATTTTTATCATCGTACTTATCCACAGAGAGAGAAAGACATGGAACTTACTATTGAACTAAATAGACAAACACAAAATGAGAAAAAAAAATTCTACAATCCCTCTAGAAAAAGTTTAAAGGGAATTATTCCCTCCTACAAAAATAACTTTGAAAGATCACCAGGATATATAGCACAGGAACAGAGCATGGGCAGAGAATGGGTCTCCTCCTTGCCTCTCCAGTGTGCTTCAACTCAAGCCCTAGACTAGTCTTCAGTCTAGAGGCTGAAGACTCATCCCATTTCAGTGCACAGCTAATCATCAGCAATCTCTCCATACATGTCCAAAGAAATGCATATTACTGCCAGATGTGATTTGTGCTCTTGTCAAGTTGGAACAAGAGAGTAGCATCACCTTTCCTGTGTAGTCATCAATGTGCTGCCATAAAATAAAGTGGATCGATGTGCAGGCAGGTCCGCCCTGAATTAGATAGGAATAATTTTGCATTCCAGTGCATTTCCATACTGTCCCTAGTCATAGGCATATCAGACAGTTATGTCCTAAATCAGCAAATCCAATTTCCTGCCATCTCAGTCCCATCACTGTGCGTAATCCCTTTCATGATTAAGCTACTCTTATTTAAAAGAACTCCTTGTTCTAAAATAGTGCAACTCCTCCTTCACAGCCCTCAGCACACAATCACTTGATTCTGCTGCTAAATAGATGAAAACATGTTTCTGATGTAGAATGTCACTGGGAAAGCAGACAGGAAACATGTTTACTGAAATAGGTTCGCGATCCAGTCCATGCCCATCAGACACCACCACCGACACGCAGTAGCGTCATCAGAAATCTGGTGGGAGCCAAAAGCTTCCATAGAAGTTAAAAGCAGAAATGAGGCACACAAACCAGACTTCTTTCTGGAGTCGTTTCCTCAGGCTGCAAACGGTTTGAGGGCAAAAGCGCAGAATAACACACAGCCCCTCCTAGCACAGCGAGGCCAGAGATCCTCAGTGGAGTCACTGGTGCTGCTGCTACAGTGTGAGGCAGAAAATAAAGCTGGAAAAGCCTCCTCTTTGTTGCCCTCTGCACTTCAAAAAGAGCTGAGGGCAGCAGCAGTTCACCTGTTGACTGCTGCAGTAGTTTTCCCAAAACTCTCTAGCCCAGCTAGATGAAAAATACCGAGGCAATTATAGTCACTATTAATATTCCACTGAAAGAGATTAGGGTCTTGCCATCCTTTTCAGCATTCAAAAAGGTAGAGGAATAATTCCTCGCAAAGTCATACAGAAACTCCAAACACTCAACCCCTTTGAAAACTCACTTTTATTAAGAGACCCAAAAGAAGATACAGGTATTTTAAAACACTTTACAAGGCTGAATTCTTTCTAGAATTCTGTTCTCTGCTTCGTAAAGTTATATCAACGCTGTTTTCCTTAATATGCTCTGAACTTGGCAGAGGTAAATTTGCAATTAGTATTTTATTTCTTTTTTTTCCAGAAGCTGTTCTGCATCATAGACATCACCTAATTTTATCAAGTGCCTATAGGTCAGGGATCTGGCATGTGTCATTTCACCTCTGAGAGGATATTTCCCGTAAATGTAGTTTTCAGTTTATACTTAAGAATGGATGTTGAGATGACTCGAAACCTTCATCGTAAATTACAAGTGAACTTTAAAAATTTGATTTGGCAAAGATACTGCATGTTTGGTGTGTTACAGTATGATAATCAGTAACTGCCTGAAGAGGCGATCAGCAGTTCTTCCATTGGGAAAGGTCAAGGAATATAGCATGAGCTACTTGGGTAAATATGCTGGGACGTAACTATTTTCAGAGATCCGTCGAGTTTTGTCTTCTATATGAAATCAGAACTGGAGCAATTGTTTTTGTGCACATGGACAATAATAGAAGAGGAAAAGTAGCTCTGCTCACTTCAGGACAAGGTGTCAAGACACCTGGAGCTTGATCAAAGCTCTGCCTATCACTCCCTGTGTGATTCTGGGAGTGCCCTTTTAACCCCTGCCTCTCGCTGTGAAAATGTATTACATGCAAAATTTTTGTGAAGATTAATTCATTGCTTGTGAATGCTTTGAAATCTGCAGTAATATATTTTTTTAATTCATCTCTTCTTTCCAGTATTTTAAATTGAAATAAAAGGCTAGAAAAGCCCATAACAATGAACAAGTATAGTCTTTTGCATATCAAACATCTGATGATTCCTGAATCCCACAGCTTGATTTGGGGGTTAATCCTGTGCAATTTGCTTTGGCCCTAATGCCATAAATTGTGCATGAGTCCATTTAAGTATGAACCATAGACTGATTGCCCATCTGCTTAAAAAGTAAGCATTGGCTCAAGCACTTCATGGATTGAAGTCTAAGTACTCGGAAACCAGTGGATTTCAAATCTGTAAGCACTGTTATTTGAGAGACATTCTCACTTGTAATCCCTGGAAGGCGTTCTTATATGGCAATTCCTACTCTGGCTTCATCTTCAGCTTTGGGGTGTCTCCCCACAGAAGCAGAGGAAGGAACAAGTCCTCATTCACACTTCCAACTATATCAGCTGGTATAATTAAAGATGATACCCTTCCCTTTAAAGGATCTTTTATGCAAGTCAACACATTTATCTTTAAGGAAAAACGTGAGCTTGAGATTATAACATCTAACTGTATTTCACATTCTGAAGCTTCCAGAGTGCTTGCAAAACATTCATTTCAGGCATTGCTTAAACTAGTAGTTCGGTATCCGACAACCATACTGGTTATGCACAAAAAAAAATGTGTTTTTAATCTTCCTAATCCAGGGGACATAAAAAAATATTTTGATATCCAGTACAGATTTTAGGAGGAAAAAAATACAGTACATTTAAGCGTTCCTTTCTACCTTGTTTACTAAATATAATGTAATACAAGTAATAATATGTTGTGGAAAGTTCTACTGTAATGTAATGTGCATTTATGATACCGGAGTAAAAATTTACTCACCTAAAATGATTTCACTCCCAAGGAATAAGCAGTTTTGGCTTCAAACAGTCTGCCAAACTCAATAAGCAAAGGGAGCAGGCTTGAATTCTGCTTTTTGCAGGCACGTTAGAATAGGTGGCATCACCTATTCTAGAGCTAGGGCACTGTGAACGCACCTGTGCATGCAATGAAGTTCACCACACTCAATAAGACTCTAAATGAAAAAGAATATTATTAATGAATGAAATAACACAACTTTCTTTCTCCAGAGGACTATTGTTTTAAGTCCGTAGCCTGTGACCAGCCAAATGCAGTTTTCCAGTCTTATCAGCAAGTCCTCGGTGTACTAGAACCCATAGTGTCTGGAGTGAAAAGCTCTGTAAACTCTGTAAATGGTTGTTCTTCTAGCAATGACATATAGTTCTCCAGAAGGGAAAATGTTGCGCACTACAAATAAAATTATGAAAGCCAGCCAGTAAATACATGCAGAATAGTTTGCCTCTACAATAAGGAATACTTGTGGTTTACAGTAAGGAACGCTTGTAAGCTCAATGTTTGTAGTAATATTTGCAAATGGGATGATATCGGTCTGGAAGGTTGCAGTTCGGAGACCAATACCAGTGCTTCCTGAGAGATGCTGGGCTCGGCAAAGGGATGCGTGCTGTCAGTCTCCAAAAGCCTGGGAAGTAAGATGTTGAGCATTTTGCTGTTCTGGAAGGCAGATGAATCTTTGTCCCTCCCAGAAGACAGATGGGGACTTGTTCCCTCTACAGAAGCACAGCACCAGCCCCCTCAGGATCAGGAGTCCTGCAGCTGGCAGTTACCCAGCCCTTTTAGGAACAACAGGCTTATTTGTAAGTGAGGAGTAGGACTGCTCCTCTACTTGTGGAAATTCTTTACCCTTTATTTGAACATGAAATATTTAACAGGATACAATAAGACTTAAATCAGGCCCCATTTGTCTATGTTATTTTCAGATCCTGGACTTCTCTCACATCAGTGTAATTAGTCTCTACTAAGCCAGGGGTTAGCTTGACATGATACACATATAAGAGTCAAAAATATATGTCAACATGAACAAAATACTCCATCTTTCTCTTCATATTTCAACTAATGGTACAATCTCAGTATTCAGCCATACATGTCTAAAACCTTGCTTTAGTGCAAGACAAGATTTCAGTGAATAATTTGCCAGGAAGAATTAAACATTGGTACAATTTGAGAAAAAACAATTTGAAATAAGGAAATGAGTAATTCCATCTCAAAACAGGAAACTTAATTAAAAAAATAGTTGTCATTCATGCAGCTTATCTTGATAACCAGAACTAGGAAAATGAAACATGAGGAGTTCTGCTCCCATACAGCCTTACTGTGTATTAAAATGTGACTACCTGTTCTGATGGCTGCAGCCAGAAAATTCTTTATAATTGTTACCATGCATTTAGCATGTTGTTTGAAACTTCTCTCTGCATGAAGCTTGGTATACTTCAAGAATTTTCACACACTTATATACAAGCAGCCCTAACATGGAGTCTTTTAAGTTCCTCTACAATTAGCAGAACAGGATGCCTATGACCACAGCCAGGGCTGTGATGTTAAATCCTCTACAAGGTCTGTGTCTACGGTTCCTCAGACAGAAGCTGTTCTGTGGCTATAGGAAGAAGTTGAGTAATGGGACGTGTTGTCTGAAAATTTAGCATCCTTGGGAAAATATGTAAAACTAGAACTTCTTTTTTTTTAAAAAAAAAAAAGAGAGTAGTGAAATTTGCAGAAATGTGTATATCAGTAATCTTTAACATGATCTGTTTCTTCAAGAAATGATGTGGCATTTTTATGTGGCAGCATTTTCTTTCCTCTAAAGTAAAGATAAAATGGTTACAATTAAAGATACAACACTATAAATACGCAAGCATATGTCAGAGCAGTAAATTAGAGCCAGCAGTGCAAAGACAAGTGACCCCTTGGACAGTGGGATACTGTGCTCTAAGAAATCGCTGCTACCCGCCTCTCGGCAATGTATGTCCCCTCCGCAACGGCAGCCGGAGACTTCTCAGAGGTCATCATGCACAGAAAATCGTTGGGTTGATTGAGGTTCCCCCTTAAAATGCACATGCGTGTTTGTGGCAAAGGTCCAGCTCAGGAGTCTGGGAAAGCTTTTATGATGGTTTCATAGGCGGGAGGTGGGGTTTGCGTGGAGTGGCAGATGCGGAGGCTGTTGTTAGACCAGTGAAATTCGGGTCGACTTAAGCTGTTGGTGGTGCTTCCCACAAGGGTCGTGGTGGTATTTGTGGGAGTGAGGGTGATCAGCTGACTGTTCGTCTCCACGGGGAGGGGAGGACACTGCAGGAAAGGGTGGAAGGTGGACGCGCGGAAGCTTGACTTCCTGGGGAAAGAGGTGGCTTGCTCCAGGGAGGCTTGCCGCTGGAAGGTGAGGCTGGCCAGGCTGAGGTTGCTCCGACGTTCGCAGCTGCTGTTGCGGTAAAATCCAGTCCTGCCAGTAGTGTGGCCATGGGAGGAGGGTCTGGATCGACGGCCGAAGGTTGAGGAGCTCCCCTGGGAGATGTGGGCGCTAGCTCTGCGACGGGACAAGCAAGTGAACAATGCCCAGATGATCCCTCCAATCACTAGTCCAACCACCATGGACACTGTGAAGGCTATTGTTATCTGCTCTGAAATATAGCAAAAATACACAGCAAGGTTATTTCATTAACTGGGAAGGGTTTTCCTGCCAGAAAATGAATTGAAGACAGCAGCCTCCTTAAAAGATGAACAAAGCCCAAGATCTTTGTATGTAATACATGAGCTTTACAGCACAAACACAGCAGTTCAGATGGCTCTCACTACATTTTTTTTAATTTGCATAATTCAACAACACCCAGAAAATAGCTTGCTTTTAATACCAGTTTCTGTACCCATGCAAGGGAAAAGTCTTTAGTCTGTCCAAGAATCAGCCACCCACCAGCCCCAAGGTGTGTTATAAAACTGCCACACATCTACTTCTGGGGGCAATATGAGGTATGGATTTATGCAGATTTGTCATCCTGTTTATAGAAGTTTATGTTCTATGTGTATGTGTTTGCAAACTCATCTATTACAACAGTGATGTAGTTTCTGTCATGTTCTTAATGGAGTAAGCCTTGTATTCATTACAACATGAGAATATGTCCCAGCCTTTTATTGCTGAGTAACAGATACTTTAAATTCTCATAGTAATTAATGTAAATTACTGTATTCTAAATGATTATGGTCAGAGATAACCATTAGTAATACTAAGTCTCTTGACTATTTCCCATCCCCAAAACCCAATTTAAAGATGCATTAATCTGCCATTAAGAAAAGTAAATTTATGGCTCTATTATAAATGCTTTCAAGAATTAAGAGATCTGAAAACAAAAAAGAGCATGTCTAGGATTGTTTTCTCCCCCACATGGTTTCACAGTGTGGAGGAATAAGACTTTTCCCTTGTATATTCCTAAGACTAGGACAGTTACTTCAGAAAACTTCTGCAATTAACTTTCAGTTACTTTTGCAATTGAGCACCAGCTTTATTGCTGTTCTAAAAAGTTTGGAGATACATTTGTAATGCTGGATAAGGCCTGAAATGAACGCAAAACCTTTATAGATCCCCTCAAAATTCAAGAAGTGATTGGATCTCAAACAAGAAGGAACACTATGCTGACTACTGGTGGACCAAAGAGGGAATAAGTGAAAAAGAACCATGGGACAGCCTGAAACATGTTTATTCTGTCTGTGCTGTGTTAACATGTTTGTGAAGCATGTCTGTTAAAAAGGAAATTGTATTTATCATGTTTGTGAAGCATTTCTGTTAAAAAGGAAATTGTATTCATTAGATAGAGGTATACCTTTCTATAGCGTACAGAAGCACAGGCCAGCTAACGCTCTGCTTGGCTGGCCACTGTGACAGAGAGTAGTAACTCCAGGACTGGGATGCAGATGTTAGAGCCCAAAAAGGGCAAGATGAGACTAAGGTTTAAAGTTTTCTTGCAAGGTAACAGCTGTTAAAGAGTTTCCCCTGAATTTATTGTGCTGCACAAACAGTCATTTCCAGAACCCCAAATAACGACACCAAGTCCGAGCTGTGGGAATTGGCCAAAGCAGGTGCTGGAGAGGAAAAGAGAGCAAGAGTCCCAAGGGATGGCCACGGAGAGCAGCTGGCACACCGCAGAGGGAGAGGAGAGGTGCCAGGCACAGCCAGCGGGACCGGCTTGCAGGCAGAGGCACCCCAGTATGCACCAACAGATACCTTTTGCTTAAGGCGGGTCTTGGTGTCTAGCAAGGCTTAAACCTAGGGCGGGTCACTGCAGGAGGGGTAAAGCAAGCATTTGCTTTCCTTCCAGCAGGGCAGATGTGAATGATTATTGGTATAATTGCCCTTTAAGAATTAGTTATTATCAGCTTCCTTATCAATCTTCTTAGATTTCTCCCTTCAGTGAAAAATTGTTAGCTATGTGATTCATACTTGCTATTGGGGAAAATTAGCTCCTTGAGCACCAAAAAGTTTAGCATAAGATTTTTGCAGGTGTCTGGGTGGGGACTCCAAGCATTGAATTTGAACACAGCCCTTGCTGCTGTCCATCAAACCCTGTCAGGGGCAGTATATTCACCATACGTGTCTTTGCAGGTGTGGTTCTAGACAGGACCAACATTATCAAGAATTACTGACATCACCATGAATCGCGTACCCAAGTTTATTCACCTTACATTTTTCAGGCTAGACTTGAAGTTCCATGAGGCCCAGAAAATTTAATCTCTAATTAAGCCACTGATATTTTGGATGGCTATGCGATCCTACTGTTGCTTGCTTGTAACCTCAGCTTTCAGATAGCCTTCTAAGCATTATCCTTTCCAAATGGGAAAATAAAGCAAAGACTGGAGAGGAAAAAGCATGGGATATCGTTGCAAAGCACTGCTCCCTTTTGGGAATCCTTTGTTGTCCTTCTGTTCAGAAGTGAGATAAACCTGACTCTAAAATATAATTTTTCTTTAAGCCCTTATTATTACCGCTAAAAAACTCCTGACTGGGCACGCTAAAGCCAAAGGGTGACTGTCTGATCTGCTTTTTGCAAGAACTTACAGGCAGCAGCCTGCGCTGCAACTCCTGGCCGCAGATCAGAGCTCTGTCACCGTAAGCAGCCTTCTGACAAACTCATCATGATTCTGCCCTTTATAAAACATCTTCAGAGATACAGCAGGCCTTATTGTGCCCCTTTTGGTCAGGAATAGCCTATTATGACATTTTAATGGGTTTAATACATTCTGTTACTGCAAGTTCCTGCTCATACCCCTGAAGGTGGGAAGGGAGAGCCAGGACTTGGCCACCTCCAGTTGAGGACATCCCAGGGAGTGTCCCAAAGCCAGCACTTCCCAGGCAGTAGAGCTGCAGTCTGAGCACCCCTACTGCTGTCCCTGCGTGGCTGTGGGAAAGCGGAGCAAGAACTAATCCTTTCTTAGGCTGATTTCTCTTGCACCTCGGCTCGAATGCTACTTATGTTATCACATTTTGAGACTGCCAAGAGATCCCCCTGATTCTGAGGTCTTTCTGTTCCACAGGGCTCTGTGTTGCCACCTGATGTTCCTGCTCCTGCCTGGGGTCTCAGCTCCAGCAGGGAGGAGGAGAGGGGATCTCTGCGGGGCTCGAGTGCAAGCAGGCGCACAGCAAGCCGCACAAGTGTACCTGGCTCTGGGCTTGCCGTGCACCGTGGTGAGGATTTGTCCCTGCATCCCTCTAGCCATAATTTTCACCACCTGCACAATCAAATCAGCATTTCACACTGTTGAAAGCAGATGAGGGAATTGACAAAAGTATCGAATGCAGCTCTTCAGCCCTTCCCACGTGCTGTTCCCCTGTGCTGGATGTACAGCACAAACAATTATCCCTTTGGACAATGTCTTCATTTTCTTTAACTTATTTGATTCTTTTATTTTTCTACTTCTATATATGAATGTAAAAATAGAGGGTCAAATTATTCCCTGGAGAAACTCAGCTGGATTTACACTGACTATTGCAGTTGCCATCTAGTACACCAAATACTCTCATTTCAATTTGGACCTACGTTTAATCCTCTCGGTTCTTATTGTAGAAATATCACTAGACCCATTGGTTACAGACACTTTATTCTTTCTATTCCCAGACTCCCTCTGACTTCAGTGGGAACCGTGGGTCACACTAATAGGCCGAACTTGCATTTTGTTGACTCCCTACAGAGGATGAATTTCACCGAAATGTAATTCAGTTCTAAAAACTTACACTGAAGAATTGTAAATCCATGCCCATTGATTTCCTCTTTAGAACGTCAAGCAATCACAGCCCTGAGGTACATTGGAGAAAATACCAAACAGAGAAAAAGATCAAAGGCAGAGTGGGACTTACTGCACCTGGGACTTTGAGTGGAAGAGCTGGCTTTCACAGAGTTGTTTTTCTCTTCCTTAATCTGGGCAGTGCCAGGGCAGAACTAACCTTTCAGGAGAGTCAGAGCAATACTGACATGAACTGTGTCCCAAGGAACCATTAAAATATCTTATGGTTTCCTGAGAGCTGCGCATGTCATGCTGTCCTCTGCTTTTAAGGAAAAAAAAAACAACCCCAAATTTGGGGATAAAGCAGGGATGCTGACAATAACAATAGCTCCCCAGATGCCGTTCCCTTAAATATGTTTTCCTCTGTATGTTTCTCAGGCTGCTCACACTGCCTGCTTTATTTGATTATGCTACAACTGAAAAGATTTGGTACCCTGTCTCAGTCAATTTTCTCCACTCTCACCTCTAACACCAGCTGAGGTGAAGGACAAAGTTTTTTTTCAACAATGCAGGACAGACTTTAGGGTTCAAAGCCAGAAATAAAGGATATAAGGAAACAAAGCAACCAAATACCTTAGGTACATTACCTTTCTTATCTATGGTACTTCCAATGTGCCCATGCTAAAAGGGTTGGAGGCTCAGAACCCACAGTAACACCCATGACTTCTGGATGTTACCCCCAGATCTGAATACCAAGCCAGTACGTGCCTGTCAGCCCCAGATCTATCCAGATCAGGCAATTCCCTCTGAAGTCTTTCTATTCCCTCCTCTCTGATTTCTGCATGCAGTGTTAAGCAAATGCAGTGCTACAGGTTTGTACGGGGAATTATTGCCTCTGCCATGCAAAGCTTTTTCGTGGTTGTTGCAGCTTTCCTTAAGGTTTTTATAGCTTCCCATGAACTGTGTATATGAAGCGTTAGTATATATACGATCAAGTCGATAGCTGGTAGCAAGTCCTTACCACTCTGTAGAATCCACACAGCAGAAATTTGGACATGTTATTAGTGAAGATGATAGGCTGGCTGATAAAGTGCTTTTCCTAGTTATGGCCCTGAAACAAGTTCTTCCCATCTAACCTGGACATTAGTAGCAAGGCCGCCTAAAGGGAGCTCATACTAATCTGCAAGTCTTCTGAGAAGTGGACTACCTTCTCTCCTTCATCACCTTGGGGTATACTTCACAAAAAATTAGCAACACAATCCCTACCCAGACTTGTCAGTCCCTGGATCAACCAAACTCTTCATAAAATGGATTTGATTTTTTTGATGGAGCATCCTGCCTCTACCACATGGAGCTTAGCATGATCCTTGCAGACGTAGGTCAAATCTTGTAATTCTGTGAGGCTTTCATT